GAAAGAGGAACAGGAAATAGTAGGAGGGAGGGGGCCCTTGAGGAGCAGACTTAAGTGAAGGAATTAAATTCCTTCCCTGATTCACTAGAGGTTGCCCAGGTGGGCAAGAGGTGAGGAGGGGAGAGGGTCTCAGGATGTTTTTCCCACCAAGTTATTAACAGTACCCTGTTCATTAATCCAGGCTGTACTGACTGAATCCAGCCTCTCCTGGGTCTGGGGCGAGGGCTCAGGGGAGGAGGCCGGCCTTTCACTCCCTCTCCTCTGCTGCCACGCCCAGTACCTGGGCTGGGGCCCTCCTCTCTGCACATGGCCCCTCTGTCTCTCAGGGACATCCTGGGGGCCATGAACGCCCATTACATGAGCAGGTCCCCCCTCCCCCTCACGCACGCAGGATCACACCCGGTGGGGGTGGCAGGAGCGACCCGGCAACGGCCTCCTCTCCTGGGCATCATCCTGGTTCCAGGCAACATGGGAGGGGGAACCGTTGGTCCAGAACGGAGAAGGGGAGGGGGTGTCTGCGGAAAGGGGCCGCGCGCACGAGAGGAAAACGCCTTCAGCCTCCAGCCTCGCAGACCCTGGGGGTCGGGGGCCAGGATGTGCCTGTGAGCGTGGGGTGGGAACCGGTGCAGGCAGAAGGGAGGGCCGGGGGCGGTAAAACTGCGTCTGAGGCTGCAAGGATAGAGAGCGGACCAGGGGTACAAGGGCCTGGGAAGGTGGGGACCGTGCATACCCTGCTAGCATCCCGGCACCCCACGTGCAGGGTAATGGCCATATAACCCGGGTTCCCGGCCGGGATCTCCGACTCAGATGTCAGAGCCAGGCGGAGCCTGCGGCAATCACGCAGAGCACCGCCAGTGGCCCGGGGCCCCCGTGAGTGGGCGCCCCACCCCCACCCCCGCAGCGCCGAGGCGGGAAGGTGCCGCCGGGGCGGTACGCAGACTGCACTGCGAGGCGAGCTGGCACGGTCATCCCGCCCACTTCTGAGCCCCCACCCCTCCGCCCGCTACACCACTGTTCAAAAATGAAGACTCTCGAGACGACAGCAGAGCAATCAATGAAGAGCGCGGCGCTGGCAAAGCCGTCCCTGGGCCCCCCCGCCACCCGCACTCTCACTCTCGCTCCTGCAGCCGAACTCACACCTGTATCCTCCCCGCGGCTGGGAAGCTCCCACCGCTCTGTCGCCCAGGCAGTCGGATGACATCTGCGTTCTCCCAGTGCCCCCGACGGCTCCCGAGTCCCCGCCGAGCCTGCCGAGGCAGCGAAGATTCGGCCACCTCCCCACCGCTCCCCCGCGTCTCCCACGGGTCAGGTACCCACCGCACGGCTGGAGATGGAACACGCGTCTGGTGGCCCTGGCCATGGCCCAGGCGACGGGAGGCCGGACGGCTGAACACAGGCACACTCGCGCACGCGGGCTTCTCACGCGCACTCGGGCGCTGCGGGACCCCAAACTTCGGAGTCTGCGGTGGGCGGGAGGTGGCTACACACCCCCTCGCGGCGCCTGGGTCCTAATGCCGCTCAGACGCCCCGCCCCGGCGCGGAGGCAGTGCCACCGAGGGCGGGGTCCCGTCGCGGCCCCACGCCCTCACCCGCAGGAGGGCTGCTCTACGGAGGGCGGGCTGCCGTGGGCGCCCGCAGCGACTTGGCCAAGCCGCGTCAACCCTGCTCCTTCGGGCCCGCGCGCGCCCACCCGAGCGTCGCGGGGTTGGAGGCTGGAAAGCTTGGGGAAGCAGCTCGATGGGACCGCGGACGCTCCGAGCTGCGCGACCGTAGCGGGTCGCGGGAGGGCTTCCCCAGCGTCCGCTTTAAGTGCGCCGCCTGTCCCCGCCTTCTCACCTAGGCCAGGGGCCTCCGCGGGGCCACGCCTGCCCACAGCCCCGCCTTTTCCATTCATCCCGGTGGCTGGGGACCGAAGCCCTCCTCCTCCTCCTCCAGGAAGCGCTCTTCGACTAACTAGACGGGCCGGCACGCATTCCCTGGGCTACGCCCTGGCCCGCGGGGTTGGCCGCCCTCCTGGCGCGGCGGCGTCGGGTTTAGCTCGCTCCGCGCCTTCTCTCCTGGCCTCATCGCACCCTCGGCCTTCTCCTGCGTCAAGGTCGTGGCTTCTTTCCTTCCCAAAATGGCCCCGCCGCCCAGTTTCTCTTCCTGGACCGGCGAGAGCCGGGCCCAGAGACGCGCCTTATCCGACGCGGAGTCTCCAGCGAGTAGTGCGTGTGTGCGCGCCCGTGTAGCAAGGCGATCCCCGCGGGCCGGCGGACGCGTGCGGCGGTGGCGCCACCATATTCAGCTGGTGCAGTGAACCCTTGGCCTGACCCTCCCGGCTTCCGGCACATCACTCCACACAGCCTTCAAACCTCGACTAACCCCGTAACAGAGCCCCCTTCCCCGACAAAGTTCTGCCCCGCTAACTCCCTCTACATTCTGACCACCCGGCAGGACGATTAGGAGCGATCCCTTCTTCACCCCCTGCTGAGATGGAGTCCCTGGCCCCCCTGGCCACGCAGGAGTGGGTGGGGCAGGCAGTGGGCGAGGGTCTAGGCAGGCCTAGGGTCTGCAGGGCGCCAAGGGCTCCCAGCACACTGGGAAAGCCCTGTGCATAGACGGGTTCGCAGGCTCACCCAGTTATCCCTCCCAGCTAGTCAGCAACGGAGCAGGGCCACCGGGTGACCTAAACCACCTGGGAGTTGGGGATGGCCTGAGCACGTCTCCACTCCCCGTTATTCCTGAAGGCCTTGCTGAAGATTCCTACTGGGTGACTTGTGCCAAGTGGCCCGGAACTACGACTTTGGGCTGGCCAAGGGCCTCTTTCTTCAGGATGAGTAGGCCCTGGGAGGAGAGACACTTGGTCACTCTGGCACCTCCCCACCACACCCTCGGAACTTCCTCTGGATACCCTTTGCCTAGATCTCCAGCAGGGACAGAACCCCTGTCGTGGGATAGCCAGGAGCTGAAGGCAGGCAGGCTAACACTGCCCAGGGAGCAAGGTGTGCCCAGGCACAGGGCACGCCCCTGACAAGCCCCCTTTCTCACTCCCAGCCTCTCCCATCTGAGATTGCTTTGGCTTCGGCAGCTGCCTCCGGCATCTCCCAAATACCTATCCTTCCAACCCGCCTGTTCCAGGAAACTGCCCTGGACTAGAGGGTCAGTCTCCCATCCCCATGACCGCAGCCTCGGGAAAATCTCACCCCTCAGCTCACTGAGACCGGAGCCCGCGGCCAAGCTTCACGCCCTCCTCCATGTCTGTCTCAGACAGAGGCAGACCTGATCCTCCTGCCCTCTGCCCTGCAGTGGAGCCCTGAGGCTCCACGCCCGCTATCCTAAGCTGATTTCTTTGGCCCTTCCACTCACCTCCTGTGCTGTGGAGAGCAGAGACTGAGGGCAAATCAGAGGTGCCCGAGGTTTCCCTGCCTGTGCTCCACCGGGTCCTCGCACAGGCATGCCAATTTAGTGACCCAGACATAGACACACACAGCCCTGTCCTTCCCTCCCTTGGGGGGGTCTCAGACTTCCCTGGGTTGGGCACAAAAACCCATGACTGCTGGATTCCAGAAGACACCACTTTCTTTTTTTTGGAGAGGTTTTTGCTACAGGGCTTGTACGCTCGCCAGAAAGACAGAGAGACAGAGAGACAGCGAGAAATCCCCCCCGCTCCAGGGAGGATGGCCACACCATAATTCCTTCTCCATTCTCCCGGGACCTTGGGCACACACGCACACGTGCCTGGCGTGAGTTTAAGCCACCAGGTCCAGGACTCAAACTGTGGCCGACCACATGGGAGTTAAGCAACATAGCCATGCTAACTGCTGGTCCCAAGGCACCACTTTCAAAGCACTTTTCACTCAGTTTCCCCCCATGCCATTTACCTTGCTTGTAGACTTGAGAAGCTAGGGTAAGAAGCGATTGTGTAATATCTCATCAAGAACAACAGCACTCCATAGAACCCCTTTCCCCTCCAGGTCTGCCCAATTAGCTGCCCTTCAGAGCAAGTTTCTCCAGTTACCTGTGTCTCCATGCTCCTCCATTTCTCATACCCACCTTTCCCCACCACTCCACTG